TTTTATTTGTTTGAGTTGAAATAAGAAGATGCGAAGAAGTTGATAAGTTGCACACTTGATGTATTCTTCATTTGGTTTGACTTTTCGTTGAATTTGGATTTGCCTTTCTTTTCTCCTCTTGTTAAGATTTTGAGATGTATTATTGTTCTTGTGATCTCCTAAAGTATTAGAATCTCAACTCTACATATGATTTGCAGAAGACCCTTTGAAGATTTGGGTTCGCCTTGCAACTCCGCGGAAAAAAGAGCGAAACTTTTTGCAAGATGTTGGAGAAGAAGAGGAAATTTTGTATTGATTCGGTGATAGAGGAGTTTGAGGAACTGACAGAGGATGCTGGCAAAGTTCAGAGAGAGACCCTGAAGAAAATCCTCCAGGAGAATGGCAAGGCTGAGTATTTGCAGGAATTGGGGCTTGGGGATAGGACCGATGTAGAGAGTTTCAGGGCTCGTGTTCCATTAGTCACTCATGAGGATTTGGAGCCTTATATTCAGAGAATTGCTGATGGAGATCATTCACCACTTCTTACAGGAAAACCAATCACATCGATTTCGTTGAGGTATGAATTCTGGGCTTTTAGACTCCTTGTCATTAATATTTCGTGGGTTACACTTACGTGTGCTGATTTTGATTCATACAGTTCTGGTACTACTCAAGGGAAGCCGAAGTTTGTGCCATTCAATGAGGAACTGGTTCAATCCACTATGCAAATTTACACAACATCTTTTGCTTTCAGGAACAGGTCTGCTTGAATCTTGGTTTCTTTGATGGAAGTTCCCTTACCAACTTTTGGTGATATGTTACGGCTTACAGTAATTTTAAGGGATCCCTTTTGTTAGATACAAACCGTAGCCTGCTTTTCTAGCTCTGGCTTTAAAGTTGGAGAGGGTTGTTTCGGTTGTTGTCCAGGACCCTTCATGATTAGGGAAAGGGAAAATTATATTAGTAAAAATAGGAAGACATAATGATGATCATGGTGAGTGAATGAATTATAGGATTCCACCAGTAAAGATGAGAATTTCTTGATGTTATGTGGTTGTCGAATGTGTATGAAAGTGTTAGTAAACAAAAATGAAAAGTCCGTAATTGCTTTCCCTGTAATAGCTTGTCATTTAGAATATCAGTTTTTATAATTGGCAAAATAGGTATTTGGTATTGGAAAAAGGTTTGAGATGCTCGGAATTATTTAAAGCCGTTATTATTTTTGGGGGAAAAAACTTGCAATCCCTTTTTATGGACAACTATTACAAACTTTTCGTAGATAAGTGAAGCACTTTCATTATTTCTAGATGCTGGCTGTTTTCCTTTGTTGAGATTGTAGCGCAGCTTGTTTTAGTTGCTTCTAGTGGATTAGGCACATAAGACGCATGAACTTTAGCTTTTCGATACATAGTGGACAAACTTATCTCTTTTGGTCACTGAAATCTGAACTGGCCTTCCATTGGATGTTGTTGTTGACTTAGTTGTACTGAATCCCAGCGAGCTCTCTCTCTCTCTCTCTCTCTCTCTCTCTGGTCCTTTTGTCTTTTCTTTTCTTTTATCTTTTTTTATGTTGAATTCTGGGGTAGGCCAATCATTAACCTGGTTTTATAATTTTTTTTCCTTTTCTGCAATTTTAAGCACATGTTTTTCTTAGAATTATTATGTTCTTATAAAAAAATGTATGCTTAATATTCTATCTAATGGATTACACGATATTATGAAATTTTAAATTATGCAGAGCGTACCCCATTGGTAATGGAAAAGCTCTACAGTTTATCTACGGCAGCAAGCAGTTCAAAACCAAAGGAGGTCTCACCGCTACAACAGCAACTACAAATGTATACCGAAGCAAGCAGTTCAAGCACACGATGAAAGATATCCAATCACAATGCTGCAGCCCTGATGAAGTTATATTCGGTCCAGACTTCCATCAGTCCTTATACTGCCACCTCCTTTGTGGCCTAATTTACTCAAACGAAGTTCAGTTTGTATTCTCCACTTTTGCTCACAGCATAGTTCATGCATTCAGAACATTTGAGCATGTGTGGGAAGATCTTTGTACTGATATCAGAGAGGGAGTTCTCTCAAGCAGAATTACCGTTCCATCCATCCGCGCTGCTGTTTCTAGACTTTTACGTCCTAATCCTCAATTAGCAGACGAGATATATAACAAGTGCATGAGTTTAAGTAGCTGGTATGGTGTGATCCCAGAGCTGTGGCCTAATGCTAAATACGTGTATGGGATTATGACGGGGTCAATGGAACCGTATCTCAAGAAATTGAGACATTATGCGGGAGATTTGCCTTTAATGAGTGCTGACTATGGGGCTTCTGAAGGATGGATTGCGGCTAATGTAGAGCCGGAATTGCCTCCTGAGAAAGCAACTTTTGCTGTGCTCCCTAATATTGGGTATTTTGAATTTATACCTCTAAGAGAGAAACCGGGGGATCAGGGGCTTGACAATGTTGGTTCTAATTACCGTTATAAAGAATTGGAGCCGGTTGGTCTTGCAGAAGTCAAGCTTGGAGAAGAGTATGAAATGGTCGTCACCAGCTTTGCAGGTATGGTCTGCTGTTTCGAACTCCACTTTTTATGTGCTTTTCTCTGTGTTTTCCTTTTGATTTTGCTTTATGATGTTAAGATGAGTGGGCTTGGTAAACATCGAGTATATTAGATTTTAAATCATTAATGTCTTTCTGAAGCAAGGAATGATCACTATCTATTGATCAACTGCTGAACTAATTTCATCTTGTTGTTTTTATTTACCTTTATGTGAATATGGTTGATAGATATTGATTTTATATCACTCTCACATTATACAGATTTTCTCTCATATTTGTCCTTAGATTTTATTGTGATGGTCAAAATAGTTAGAAACTCTTTTTCTTTTGAAAGGAAAAGAGGCAATTACCCGTTTTGGATTCAAGATTCTATCAGTTCTTTTATTGTTTTTTTATTAAGGAGCAAAAACCATGATAAGTGACTTTTGAAATGTCATAAAATTGGAAAGTTACACGTATCAAGTATCAACATTTGATGCTAACATATCTTAGTGGGTGTTTCTATAAAGTAGATTCCGCTTCATAAATTGGAAGTAAATGCATCTGTATGGAATTTGGAATACACAAAGTTACTAAAGAAGATGTTAGCATCACATCACAATATGAGCAATTTTTCAATGAAACTGATGTTATTCTCCACTTTCCTTGCAGAAAAGATAGCGTTGGTTAGTTTTCTCTGATAAAGTAAATTCATTTCCATGTTTGGGTTTACATGTATGCCAGTGGGGGTCTTTCATTGCTCTTTGTTGTTTCTGACACAGGAGAGTGGAGGTCAAATTGTAGTATGGTCCAAGAAAAATAGACAATGTCTCAAGAATTTTGATGTTTGGTTTTGCTAATTCTTATATGTTAAATCCTGTATTGGCAATTAGGAATTGTGTGTCAAACTCTTTGCCACTTTTGTCTAATGTATTTGCTTAAAAATTGTTTTTTATATTTTTTGCATGCGTTTTAACATAAGCAATTGGTAAACTATGTGTTGTTGGGAAAAATCATTACTTACTGGTTGGAACCATATTGAAGAGAATGCTTGTATTCTATTTTTCTTATTCGATTCTTGAGCTGAAAAATATTGGAGTACTTTTGCTTAGAGTCCGTACAATTGAGTACATCATAGCAGTACCCATCAGACACGTGCATAAATATGTAATGTTGCTCAGTTAGGTTCTTGGTTTTCCCTTTTAATGAGTCAAGTTTTAATCATATTTCTATCTTTTATTCTGAACCGTAGTGTTATAGTTTTCTTCTCCAATCTTCTAAGACTTGCCATCCTACAACTACCAAAAAAAAAATGCTGAAAGCTATATACATAGAAACATAGACTAGGATTTACTATGACATGGGGTTTTTTATTGAATGATGATTATCTATATGACTAATAAATTATCTTACTTTTGTCATTTACCTATATTGCATATAGTTGCGTGCTGGAAATGTCAACTGTAGCAGTTTGATTAGATCATCATAGCAAGTTGTTAAGGATACTTCTAGAAGAAATTGTTTCAGTGAACGGCTTGTTTGTGAAACCATAGGAAATTATTTGGTATGTATACATGTACTCCGTACAATTTTTTTAGTTTCTGTAGCTATTGCTGTATTTATGTGCCTGATGTCACTTGTTTGTTAATTCTTAGAATACTCGCTAGATGTATTTCCATATATTTTCTGAGAAATAACTTCAATTGCTTTTACATTTGAAATAACTATTTCTTCTCATCTTGTTGGTGGCTAGTAATGAACCTTTGACGTCACAAACAAATGTCTTTATGCCTTTCGATTCTCTTCCAAGCTCTCTCTTTAATTTTACATGACTTTATGTTTGTGATTTTCATTAAGTTTAGAGATTTCCTCTTCAGTTTAGCAAATGATTTGCTGTTTTTGCACCAAAATAATCCTTTCTATGCCTAGAGAAGTTACTATCTGAACTGTTAGGGAATATCTCTCAGAAGTAATACATCATAATATTCTTCCCCATTCTTTAAAAGTACAATCCATTAAAGATGGAGGTTCTTCAAACTTTGTAATAGAATTCCAGAAGCATTCCAGATAATGTCTATAATATATAGTTTAAACAGATTATTTCTCGCGTTATGCATATTGAAAGAAGATAACAAGACGACATCACTATCGTCCAATTGCAGGTTTATATCGATACAGGCTTGGGGATGTTGTCAGGATCGCTGGCTTTCACAACTCCACACCTAAACTGCAATTCGTATGCAGGAGAAGCCTAATTCTAAGCATAAACATGGACAAGAACACGGAGAAAGACCTACAGATAGCAGTGGAAGAAGCCAGCAAGCTAGTAGCAGCAGAGAAGCTCGAAGTGGTCGACTTTTCTAGCCACGTCGACATGTCCAGTGACCCCGGTCACTATGTAATTTTCTGGGAACTTAGCGGCGAAGCAAGAGAAGATGTCCTCAACAGTTGCTCTGACTGTCTCGATCGTGCTTTTGTGGACCCCGGGTACACTGGACAGAGAAAGGTGCAGGCTATAGGACCGCTGGAGCTTAGAATAGTCCAGAAAGGAACCTTCCAGAAGATTCTAGACCATTATCTGAGCCTCGGCGGGGCGCTTAGCCAGTTCAAGACCCCGCGCTGCGTTGGCATATCGAACAGCAAGGTGTTGCAGATCTTGTGCAGCAATGTTGTGGGCAGCTACTTCAGCAGTGCATATGATTGAAACTGAATAGGGTTGGTTGACATGAGGGCGTTTTATGTAAGTATTAAGGTTGATGTCTGTATCTTGCTAATAGTTGCTGGAATATTTGAGGGTGTTTGTGTAAGGAGGTACTTGGTGCAGCTTGTTGGCCTCCCTTGTGTAGCTGTTTACTTATCTATGAGCTGGTTGAATGCAGCATGATGTTAGTCGTAGTGGTCTTCTTTCTTTATAAAATAGTGATGCTTTTTTTTTTAAATGGATTAAATAGTGAAAGCTCTATTAGCCTTCACATTTGACTGAGATATATCAGCATTCTACCGATTGACCGAGATGCGCAATTACGGTAAGATTGACAAATGCTCTTTCGTTGAGGTGGTTTGAGCGCGTTGAATTGCTTTTGCATACGATATTGAGGGATATGACTACTGCTGTAGAGCTTTGCAATTAGATGGAGTTGGAGAGTAAAGTTGTGTAAGGAGGGAGAGAGAAGGGGGTGGGGTGTGTATACGGAAAATGAGATAGATTTGTGAAAAGATCAAAATATAAAATGAAGGATTATTTATAGATATTAGTCTCTCAAATCTTCAACAAGTCCATATTAATGCCTCATATCATTGAATAAGTCCCTCAAATCCTAAAACGTCTTGCAATTCAGTCCCTTAATGATCATAGTACTCCCTCACCTAATTTGTTTTGGACACGATGGGGTTTTGCGATCATGAACAGAGGGCATTTTTGTCGTTGAGGAAGCAAATTGTAAGGTCTCCTAGGATTTGAGAGACTCATAAGCAATTTCAAAGATGTGAGGGACTAACATAGAATTACTGAAGGTTTAAGTGTTTTAAAATAGCCCCTGTTATATTTTAACATCTAAATTGTTAACTATTGTTGGATTGAGGGTTAATGAAGGACTAATGAGGGGTAAATAATTGCGAAAGTGCCTTCACGAGATAAGTCTTCCCACCAACTTCAGTTGGAATTTCTTTTTCTCCCAAAATCAAGACGCAACTTTAACAAAAGATTTAAAGCATTGGTAAATCTACTTGGAAGCTCCCCACGTCCACATACTATAAAAGTAAATATCCATTTTGTAAACCCACCCTCGCTGAGAAAACTCACCAGTAAAAATCTGAAGTGACCCCACCAAAATCTTAGATCTTCTCACTAATTTTATGATCACCTGTTAAATTGTCTTTGATAATATTATTAATAACGTGAAAATGTAATTTTTCTCAAAATAAGAAAACTTGATGAGGATAACTGTAAATTTTATAATTATTAATTATATAGTAATACTATTGTTGATGCTCAATATCAAACAACCAATTAATCCAGAAGAGTATTGTTGCGGGGTGATGAAGAATGATGGAGGGCTCGCTCCCTTCTTTGACTTTATGTCTGGTTCTTTAACGAGGGCTTGATGTTCGCGCTGCACAGACAAAAAGAACCCGTAAGAGGGCGGGGACCGATTCCCCCGTGGTCATCCGACAGTCAAGTTAGTAAAACTCGAGTGGCGCTAAACTGTTGATGTTAAATATCACACAGCCAATTAAAGTCACAGAGTTTATAAAAAAATGATCGATGGGCTGATAAGCGTGGGCTGATAAGCGGTGTGGTGACGTATGGTCATTGAGTAGACATGATATGACTTGTTGTCAAGATGGATAAGTTTTGGCGAAGTTATCTTCTAGCTTCGCTGAGAAGCAATGTCCCTCATGATGGGACTCGCGAGGAAAGTCGACTCGTTGAGAGGAGTGACGACTCGTCCCGCCTTTTGAATCGACATGGAGGAGTATCGACTCGACTGGGTCGGCTAAGCTCTTGGCGAGTTGCCTGCTGTGAGAGGCCGGCCGACTGGTACCGTATTTCGTGTCGACACTGGGGTGTCGGCTTGTCTGGCTGGATGGAGATGGCGACTCATCAGATCATATATTTGGAAACAATTGTATCCCATAACAGTTGGCTCCTTTCACTTGGAGTCAGCTTTAGCCGAGTCCAAATGAAATGAATAAAGCTCTAGACTGAAGTTAGGGCTGCTCATTGCTTTGTAGCATTGCTCTAATCGAGCGAACCAAATGGCAATTCTTGAGTTGGTCGTGTTGTGTCAACCCGAATGTTGCGAGCCGGCTTGACAACTAGCTCATATTGAGCCTATTGTGGGCAAGATGCTCGGGTCTTATGTCAACGAAGACTGGCAAGTTGAAGTGTTTTAAGTCTTTTTGCCGAAGATAACCGGGCAATTGAAATCCATGCCTTGGGTTTACTCATGATGATACCAAGGTCTTAATGGTAGAATGATGATTCTGAGGCTAGGTCTCACATTGGACCTAAGTCTTCATAATCCTCGCATGGCCGAGATGTGACTGTGGGAATCGACCATAGAGTTATGCATTGGGCTTACCCTAAAAAGGAACCAAGGTCTCGACCATGATGATCGATGAGATCCGGAGGGATCGATCATATGTTGTGTCTTGGGCTTACCCTGATAAAGAGCTAAGGGCTTTTGACACGCCAGCCCGGAGGTTGGGTCGCCTAGGGCTTTTTTTGGTGCTTAGGGCTTCACCATGATAGTTGATGAGAATTAGAGGATCCAATCACATATTTTGCCTTTGGCTTATCCTGATAAAGAACCAAGGGCTTGGAATCCGACTAAGGAGTCGAATGCCTAGAACTGTGAGGAGAGTTGACTAAGGCTTCCCTTCCCCTATGGCCGAGAGATGACTGTGGGAGTCGGCCAAAGGGTTGTGCATTAGGTTTATTCATGATAAGGAACCAAGGGCTTACTCCAGAGTGCCTAAGGCGCGGATGAAGAGAACTCTGTGGCCCTGGCTGCCACCTTGTAGGCTCGGGCATCTTCCATGTTCATGTATCCATGAGCTTTGGCCATCAATTGCTCATAATTGGCGACTAGTTTCTTAGCAAGAGAGTTGGCCAGCTCATTGCTCTGCAAGCCGGCGACGAGTGCCGACATGGCGACTGCGGTTCCAGGGTCATTGACTTCTAACCTCTTAGCTTAGAATCTCTTGAAGTAGGTCCGAAGGCTCTTTCTGGTCTCTGCCTCATTTGGATAACAACACATGAGGGGGAAGCTCCCGCTTGGCGTCAGCTAGGAAATGATGGATGAACTTTCGGCTAAGTTGTTAAAAGTTTCTGATGGATCTCTTCTCGAGAGTGTTCCACCAGAGCTTAGCACTCCCTGAAAGAGTGATAGGAATGGATCTCTTCTCGAGAGTGTTCCACCAGAGCTTAGCACTCCCTGAAAGAGTGATAGGAAAGCATCGACAGAGGATTGCGAGAGTGTTCCACCAGAGCTTAGCACTCCCTGAAAGAGTGATAGGAAAGCATCGACAGAGGATTGCTTTTGATGCTTGGAGCATACTCATCACATCATAGTAATTCTGAACATACTCGGAGGGGTCTCCCTCGCCCTTGTATGTCTCTATGCGAGGCATCTTGAACTTCTCACATGAAACATTCATAAGGTCATCTGAAAGGGGGTTGTTACTCCTGAAGACGCTTGCGATCGGTCTGTTGACTCGATCGTATCCAGAGGCTCTAATGGTAGGACTTTCGCCTGTGAGTTCCTGATGAGAAAGGAGACATCGACAAGTTGACTGATAGGGTGCAAAATTTGCTTGTTATGGCTGTGGAAGCTGGCTGAGAAGCTCACTAGTGAAGGTAGAAAATTGGTCTTGGAAAGATTGATGAATCATATGAGCTATTGATTCAAGCTGGGCTTGAGTAGCATAGCTCTGATGAGGTCCTTTAGGACGAGATCGCTCAGCTCTATCTTCAAAACTAGACATGTTCTCTTAAAAAAGAAAGGGGGCCCCACGGTGGGCGCTAAACTGTTGATGCTCAATATCAAATAGCTAATTAATCCAGAAAAGGATTGTTACAGGGTGATGAAGAATGATGGAGGGTCTGTTCCCTTCTTCGACTTTATGCCTAGTTCTTAAACGAGGGCTTGAGAGGGCGGGGACCGGTTCCCCCGTAGTTCCTCTGACGGTCAAGTTAGTGAAACTCGAGTCGAAAAGGGGAAGGTTATGAACCGATATGGCTCTTAAGGTAGCAATGTACATGCCTAGAGGATCTACGTGAGTTCCTCTGTGTTTTTTGAAGAACTGTGTCAGTTTTTCTCCTCCCCCTTTTTGAAGGAGTTTAGAGGAGTCTTTTTATAGTGGATCGCTCTTGAGGTGTTGACCCATGGCTTTGACTTTGCACAGGAAGGCGGTTGTGGAGTGAGCAGGCTGGCTGCTAAGTCATTCTCCACTTTACAGATGTCGGCAGACGACTGGAGGGGAAGTCACTTTGGTATGGAGAGGACGTCTCTGCATTATTCGAGAAGTGATTGATAGCGTGACAGAAGGCACGTGGGCATACTGAATCGTCCCTCACTATACAGGTGTCAGCTGGTGACTGGAGGGGAAGTCACTTCGGTATGGGAGAAGACGTCTCCGCAATATCCAGGAAGCTACTTGTGAGTGGAGTATGAGCATGCTGGCTGCTAAGTCACGAGAAGTGTTAGAGTTGTGGTCTTGATGGGACAAGTCGGTGTTGTGTTATTGATTAGAGAGCTGGTGCATATCCGAAGGGAAACTCGGTTTGATCTTATCCTCTTGGTAGAGAGGCGTCAATCTTTGAGTCGTCCTTGTGGTTTGTCGACTAGGTAGTCGAGTGAACTTCTGGTCGAGTAAACAACCGAGTAAGTGGTCGGGCGGACTCTTGAGGAGTCATCTCGTTTATGAAGGGTCGACTGATTCCACTTTTCGCGTCGACTCAGGAATGTCGGTCTGTCCGACTAGTTGGAATGTCATCTCGTCTCAGCTAATAACTATCTCTCGAGTCGATGTAAAGATGTCGATTCGTATGGGAGGTCAAGATCTCTCGTGTCAACCAATATCACATTTGGTGTCGACTCAAGAGAGTCGGCTTGATGAATTGGTGGGGGGTGAGGCCTTTGTGATTGTGCCTTGGGTTTATCCCTGATAAGGTACCAAGGTCTTGTAATGAGCCATGATGGTCGAGTTGTACTGGAGGATTCGACCATATGCTGTGCCTTGGACTTAACCTTGATAAAGAGACAAGGGCTTAAAATCCGACTGAGGAATTGTTGTGCCTAAAACTCTTGGGAGTTGACTAGAGTTTTTCTTCCCCTAAGGCCGAGAGACGACTGTGGGAGTTGGACAAAGGGTTGAGTTAGTTTTGCTAGGATTCTCATTGTATTATTTTGCAAATATCTGTATCTTGGATGAGTGAACACCATAACAACTACTTTTTAGAAGTTCTGGATCCACCACCGTTATAATGCATAAAGGTATAACTGAAATTATATTAAAAAATATAAAAATTGATAGAATATTCCCTCAATTTTAAAAAACTTCAAAGCAGAGAGACAAAATATGAAGATGTTGGGACTAATTTCAACAATATAAAAAGATTGTATGGGGCTAACCACAAGGACTACTTTGGGGAACTAATTTCAACATATAAAGATTTGGGGGGCTAACTACAAAATATGAAAAGATTGCGGGGACTAAGGGGGTGTTTGATTGGCTATTTTTATAGAAAAGTTTATAGAAAAGACCTGACAATAGCATTTTTATAAATAAAATATTTATGTAGATTTTTATAAACTGTGTTTGGTTCAAAAAATTTTACAGAAAAGTTTTCTATAAAGTACAAAAAAAACCCCAGTTTATGGAAATCAAATTCCTCTCAAGATGGTCTGAAATCACCCACGAAATCTGACACTCCTCTTTTTAAAAGAATTTATGCCCTACCCGTACCCATTTTCCATGCCGAAAACTTTCTCGAGGTCGATTGAGGGCGGAAAATTTAAGGTTTTATTCCCTCTCGTTCCCACCCCCAAATCAAGCGACGAACAGCTCCTTCGCGCCTTAGTCTTCTTCCTGATCTCGTGCTCATGTATTTTTGCCATTATCGCTTGCTCAAGCTCGAGCTTCATTAGTTTTCTTCAATCTTAGATGTTGGAGGTGCGGTTGATTTGGGGGTTCTTGATTATTCGGTTCTCTGGTTAAAGAATCGGTTTTTGTCGATTGATTCCTTTTCGGATTTCTCGAGTATTCGATTCTGCACCGATTTGAGGTATAGTAACAGAATTTTTTCGGATTTCTCGAGTATTCGATTCTGTTACTATACCTAACAATTGACAGGTTGCAAAGAAGGACCCAAAATGGAAAGCTGCTATGCACGAAGAGCTAGGGGCCCTTGAGAAGAACCACACTTGGGAGTTAGTAAAGCTACCAAAAGGGAAGAGAGCAGTTGGATGCAAGTGGGTCTTCACTGTGAAGCAGAATCCAGACGGACATGTTGAGCGCTATAAAGCTCGTCTGGTGGCAAAAGGATATAGTCAGACATATGGCATCGACTATGATGAGACTTTTGCACCGGTGGCGAAGATGAGCACTGTTCGGACCTTGATTTCCCTAGAAGTAAATGATGGATGGAAGCTACACCAATTAGATATGAAGAATACATTTCTTCATGGAGATCTGGTGGAAGAGGTATACATGGAAATTCCACCAGGATTCGACACAGATCAGACAGCGGGAAATGTCTGCAGATTAAAGAAGTCTCTCTATGGGCTGAAGCAGTCTCCCCGTGCTTGGTTCGACATATTCAGGAGGGCTATGTTAGGTATGGGGTACCAGCAGATTAACGCCGATCATACCGTGTTCTTTCGACGAAATGAAGGCCACATCACCATGCTTGCGTATATGTGGATGATATGATTATTACAGGGGATGATGAGAAGGAGATTGCCCAACTCAAAGTGAGACTGGGTAAGGAATTCGAGGTGAAAGATCTTGGCTTGCTTCGATACTTTCTTGGAATAGAGATAGCTCGAGGAGCGGAGGGGATTATCCTATCCCAGAGAAAGTATGCACTGGATCTTCTCAAAGAGACAGGGATGTTAGGGTGTAAACCTGCAACTACACCGATCAACCAGAAGTTCAAGCAGGATGCTGAGGCTGGAGAACCAGTTGATCGTGACAGATACTAGAGACTGGTGGGCAGGTTGATCTATTTGAGTCACACACGTCCCGATATCTCTTTTGCAGTGAGCGTGGTGAGTCGCTATATGCATGATCCGAGAAAGGATCATATGGACGCAGTGTACCAGATTCTGAGGTATTTGAAGAGTGCCCCCGGAAAAGGGCTGATATTCAGAAAAAATGAACATATGAGCATTGAGGGTTATTGTGACTCGGATTGGGCTAGCTGTGCTGATGACAGGAGGTCCACCTCAGGATACTGTATCTTTGTAGGAGGTAACTTGGTCTTGTGGGAGAGCAAGAAGCAGTCAGTGGTGGCGAGATCAACAGCTGAAGCAGAGTATAGAGCTATGGCCTTGGGAGTTGCGGAGTTGTTGTGGTTGAAGAGTATGCTGGTGGAGCTGAAGCTGGATCAAGGAGCAAAGATGAAACTGTGGTGTGATAACAAGTCAGCCATCAGTATCGCCAATAACCCAGTGCAGCATGATAGAACCAAACACATCGAGATCGATAAGTTCTTCATCAAAGAGAAGTTGGACAGTGGACTACTGGAGTTAAGTCATGTTTCAACTAAAGACCAGGCAGCAAATTGTCTGACTAAGGGACTTAGCTCAGTAGATATGATTAGAGGATGTGACAAGATGTGTTTAGTGGATATCTTTCGCCCATCTTGAGGAGGAGTGTTGACATATTAGTATAGTTAAGGGGCTTATTTGTAAGATATATTTGTAGGGCCTATATAAGCCCATATTATCTCATCTATGGAATTAGGGTTTTCATATATTTCTACTGTTTATATGTTGTTCAGTATATTTTTTCTTATGAAATTTTTCCTTTGATCATCTTCCTTGCTGACATTTGTAGGTCCTTCAAATCTTACTACTAGAAGAAATTGATAGATGTCAAAAAAAAATTTGATTGATAATTTTCAAACTTCCAATGTAGTAAGCAAAGGAGGTATTGAGAAATTATAAAGCAATCTCTTAAAATGAAAATATCGCAGAAATAATGAACAATTTAAGGGACAGAGATGATACCAAAGTATGTTAGTTTCCATCTAATCAAAGTAAATAAACTTCGAGTCCACGATGCTGGCCAATCCTCTCTTTACCCATGTTGGGCACAGTCTCATTGTTACCAATATGGTGCTCTTGCATTAAGAGATCATTCATATTCCAATTTGTGTAGGGCATATCGTTGCAATAGGGACACTTCCACTACCCGTTTTGGTCTCTAACTTTCAAAGCATTAATTGTTAGCATTATTTCTTCTTCTTCCATTATATCTCACATCTCATCACGCTCTCGATCTTCATATGTATATGAAAATAATTCTTCATATGTTGGTTTCTGCGGTAGTTTCCGAGCACATTAATTATAAAAAAGAAAAACTAGACTCTGGTCATTGGGAAAATAGTAATAGAATTTGTAGTTTTTTTCAACCAAAATATATACACTTGGATTTGATGAACTTAACGAGTCACTACGGTCTCTAACACTCTTACTCATGTTTTTCAACTGTGAAAATTTTTTGTTTATGGATAGTTGAGGATAGAAGGATTTTATAAGATTTGAGAATGCGAAACTAGCCGTTAAACTAGCTGTTGTAAAGTGATGAATATGGTTGTTGACACTTTTCTATAAATTTAGCATGAAAAATTCCCCAAGCACCCAAAATATGGGACCAACAGGGGGGACATGTGAGGTGTCCCTCTCCTATTACATAATGAGCTGGCCATCATTAATGAAGGTCAGCTCATTATACAATAGAAAGGGGACACCTCACATGTCCCCTATGTTGGTCTCATATTTTGGATCCCTGTAACAAAGCTCATTTAGCATATGTAACCAAACAAAAGAAAAGAAAAACTTGCTATTTCTATAAAGTAATAGGCTCATTTTCTTATTTTGAACCAAACAAACAAACTGTATAAGAACTAAAAAAATTGATACTTTTTAACTTCTCGAAACCTTTCTTATAATTTTTTTAAGAAATAAAAGTAAATTTATATTTTGGTGTTTTCCTTTTAGGGGATGTTTGGTTGGTTTCCTAAAAATCAAGAAAAGGAAAAGAGTACATGAAAATTAATAAAATATTATTTTCTTCCATTTCCATCCCTAAAACTCACCACAACATCCAATAAAATATTATTTTCATCCCATAACTTATCTCATATCATCTCCTAAAATAAACCAAACATAAAAAATGGGTCACATTATTCAACTCATCTCATCTCCATCACATCTCATCTTTAAAAATCACTCACATCATCCAATAATATTGTGACAACTCATCTCATCTCATTAACATTTTATTTCCATCAATTTCCTCCAAAAAAAACTAGAAAATCGATTTCCTTAAGTGTAGGTCACATCATCCAATAATATAATGACAACTCATCTCATCTCATCTATTTTCTTATATATATGAATAAACCAAACGCAAGAAAAGAATCTATTACAGGAAATAAGTTTCTTATAATTTATTTCCTTAATTTTTTAGCTTAAAAATTACTGACATCATCCAATAATAATGTGACAATTCATCTCCTATTCTTTGATTTATATTTTTTTTAACCAACCAAACAATGTTTTGGTTGTTTAATTTCCCTTTTTTTTAGGCAAACAGGTGCTTAATTTATAGAAATTAAACCAAACACCTCCTAATATCGTAAAAGCCTATCCAAAAATCCCAACAGAAACGCCCCAACCGATTGAGGAGGCGAGGAGAAAAATCCCCTTCTTTCGCTTCTCTCTCTCTCTCTCTCTCTGAACCCCGTCGACAGTTCGCCGATCATCACCACCGCCTCGTCTTCTCTGATCATCACCGCCGCCTCCTCTTCACTCGACGATCTTCTCTCCCACCTCCTTCAACGCCGCCAGGCCCGCTACCTCCTTCAGCTCAGTTCCCTCCGGCCACCTCCTTCTCCTCTTCTCTTCAAGGTAATTTTTTTCAATGTTTTCTCTCTTTTATTTTGTTTTCTTGGTTAGTTTTCCACTGTTTTAGGTGATTTGGTAATTTTCTTAGTATATTTAGTTAATCTTGTTGAATTTTAGTTTGATTTTTCACCGTGTTAGCTAGTTAATCACTTAGTTTAGACTCTTTTATGCCTAAATAGTTTGTTAATCAAATCATTTAAGACTTTTAAGTTTAAGTCCACTTCATGCGAATTACTGTTAGTTAATCTATTCCTAAATGTTAATCTGATTAATACTATTTAGTTAAATTAGTAAAACAGTGACGGTTAAGTTAATTGGGCAAGTTATGTGATTTATTTAGTATTTATGCATGGTTGATTATGGTTTTTTTTGGCAATTTTCTATGTGTTTAATTCAAATTTTTTGTCAATTATTATAATTAAATAATAAAAAAGGCAAACACCTAGGTGCCTACTCCCTGGTCCAAAAGCTTAGACCGCCCAGCACTTTCTGCAACATGTAACATTGATTATTCTTAGCCAAGAGGACAGCAGCTGAATTTTCAGAATATATCCTCGATGGCTTAGAGATAGAATCAACAACTCTAAGTCCAGAGATGAAACTCTTCAACCAAATACCCTGCGATGTTGCCTCAAAACAAGAAACAAACTCAGCTTCCATAGTAGAGGTAGTAATTAAGGTTTCCTTTGCACTTCTCCAAGATACAGCTTCGCCAGCAAGCATGAAGATGTATCCAGATGTTCACTTGCGAGTGTCAACACAGCCAGCAAGGTCAGAATCTGAATACCCAACAACATCCAAGTTGTCTGATCGTCTATGTGAAAGATGAAATCCTTGGTCCCTTGAAGTTGAAGGTTTCTTTTTTGTAAATCTCCAGTGGTCCAAACCTGGGCTAGTTTGATATCTTCCCAACATTCCAATTGCAAATGCAATCTCCGGTCTAGTACAAACCTGAACATACATTAGGCTTCCAACTGCAAAAGCATAAGGAATGTTCTCCATCTGTCCCCTCTCAAGATTGTTTCTTGGACATTGGTTCAAATTGAACCAGTCATCCTTTATAGTGGATGCTACAGTTGGTGAACATTCGTTTATCCTAAATCTCTCGAGAACCTTGTTCTTATAGGCTTCCTGAGACAACCTCAAGACACCATGAGAACTGTATTTTTATATTTACGCTTTGTTTAGTCAATATTTTTTTAACAATTTTCATATATTTTCTTTACCTTGAAAGGAAAAAAGAAAGAAGGAGTGTTTTCATATTGAAAAAAAAAATAAACATGATGGAGGAATAAAATTGTTAAATTTTTTTATTTTATTATGTTTTAGTTATTATTATTATTTTTAACCTTCATGATCAATTGTTAACAATCTATCTTTTAGTTAGCTTGTAACTCTTTCTAACTTCCATAACTAAAAAGGAGGTTGAAAGTTTTAAGAGGTGAAGCCAACCTGTATGCAGGTTGATCTCAGATTTGGATCTTTTGGTAATACAGCCTACCAACACCTGACTCAACCCAACCTGATGAAACAAAAGAAATCCAGCTGCCTGTAAATTCGCATGGCCCTTGCCTTTTCCTCAGTGCATCGACTAACACACTTTGGTATCATCTCTGTCCCTTAAACTGGTCATTATTTCTATGATAGTTTCATTTTAAGAGATTGCTTTATAATTTCTGGATACCTCCTTTGCTTACTTTTTGTTTTAATGAAGATTGAGAAACTTGTGATTTAGAAATAGAATGAATAAAAGAATAGAATCATAATGTTCTTTCATTGGGGTTTGGGGTTTTAGTTTTATAATATGAGAAGTGATGAAGTTAGGAAAATACAATGAATACTAAAGTGAAAGATGTTTTAGGTATAAGATTCAGAAAAGGGATAAACCCAAATTGTTATATAGAAGAAAATAGAAGAAACTTGGGCGAATATTAGTGATTCGTAGTTTTATTTAGTAATACAGCTAATTTGTATAGTTAGGCATCGTCTTGAAATTGGAAATGTTTTAGTACTTTTTTTAATATATCTTCTTTATAAATGTATGGAAGTTTGAGAAAGAGCTTAGGCTTTTGCTGTCCCTGTTCTCTTATTTCTCTTTCCTTTTTTTAAGAGTATGTGCTAGCCTGTTGCAAGCCATTTGAACTCCAAAACTGTAAAGGTACCAATTAAATGAGATATTTTTTTTATAATTTTTCTTATGTTGCATCTCCTTCTTTTATACTTTGATGCCTATCTTTGTCGCACTCTTTTAGGGAGCTTTATTTGTCCTTTTAGGTACGTGTCTAGGGAGCTTTATTTGTCCTTTTAGGTACGATAGACACAAGTGGGGAAGTCTAGTATACCAATTGAATGGGATTTTGCTCTATAACTTTACTTATGTTTGCATATCCTTCTTTTATGCTCTGATGGCCATCTTATTTTTTATTTTTGTTGAACTTTTAGGGAGCTTCATTTGTCCTTTTAACCAATATTCACTATTCTGAAAATTGATGAATCAGAGTCTTCTTGTGCAGAGATGAAAAGGATGCAATGCTTTACAAAGTTTATTTGCCCATTTCGGAATCTAGTGAAGAGAACTGAAATTCTAGCCCTAACCTCAGGATGCTCAAAATCTAGGTCATACTCAAGTGTGCAAGAGGATAACAAGATCAGTGATTTATTGGACTATATGGAGAGGTTGAAGAATTATGAGAAACTAAGTGTCCCAAGAGGTGCTGGAACAGATTCAGAGGATGGCTTTGATCTTGGAAGGATGAGGCGGTTTCTAGAACAGCTTGGTAATCCCCACTATCATTTTCAGGTATACAATGAATATTTAAAATATATGTCTCCTTATCCATTCTTACTTTGTATTGTTCATCAAGAGTGTTTAAATTAATTCCTCCATAGAAACATGTTAGCAGGAACAAAATATATTGTCACCTATGTGTGATACTGCCTGAGTTGAATGTTGCTAAAGCATAATGCCTTTCAGATATGCTAATTCAAAATGTTAATATTGCTTATTAATTTGTATGTTGAAAGTCATACAAAGTTGTTATTAATTTGAAACTGCAATGAATTTTATGAAGGACGACTATTCCTGTACACTCTGTAAATATGTATCCTTGCCATGTACTTTTGCACATTTTTCACGTTATAGATTATCTGCATATATTAGGTTAGTGATCATATTAATTTCTTACCCCTTTCTTTGTTACTTTGTCACTGGTTATTATTCAAAACATGGCATGCATCACCAACCCTGGACTTACCGCGAACTATAGCATGCTGAATTGGACTGATTTAACCATTTCTATATAGACATGTCCATGTTACTTGAGACCTTCTTCATTTCAAGATCTTTCTTTTTTTGGGATGGAACTAAGACTGTGTTGCTAGATTTTCAACTTCATACCTGGAATATATAGGATAGATTTCCATGCTGAATTTGACCTTTTCATCTATGTCCATGATAATGGTGATCCATCCATGTCTAAGACTTTCTTGCATACTTATGAATTTCACAACCTCTACAGCACATCAAGGATATGCTTTGTTGAGTGGGATAATGACTTTTTTGTTATAAAGATACAATATTTGAAGTCTTTTATAACATTTGTATTTTCCTTCACATACAAATTAGAATGAAACTTTGGTAATTATGAATATATCTAATGCTTATATTCACAATAAACATTTATATGCATGCCCAACTTATAGGTTTCTTGTGTCTGCTATATTTCATATGTTATCCCGGACTTGTTATCTTGCCATTTTTCTGACCCCTGTCTTCACGTCCCGATTCCAACATTCTTTCCTCGAGTTGGTGAATAACACTGTCTGTTAAATGAAAGCATTATAATTTGTATTTTTTCTTTCATTTATGAACTATTATTACATGGAATGTCTGAGAAACAGAAATGCACTGGATTCAGAGGATTTCATCCAAACTTTGTTCTTGTGAGCTTATTGCATTTAAAAATCAAATACCTTCTAACCCAAAGTGCTTTATTTCAGTTGATGGGAGGTATTCACACATGTGAGTGGGTCGTCGAAGATTCTATATGTGCATTTAGTGGGCAATTATTGGTGTGGATTCTGGAAGTCTCATCTTTTGAGATTCTTTCATGGCAACCTTCATCCCGTCCCTTATCCTCAATGATTGCATAACTTTGGGTTTTCTAAATATTTCTCAGTGTATGGTCTGTATGATGATCAATGGGATTAAGGGGACTAGTCAACTGGTACAGGGGTCTTGGTCAATCTCCAATGACTTGAACATTCACTGACACGTGGTCAGAGATGGATGCTGCTTCTTTATTCAGGAGCTCCACTTCATTGCCCTCCATATTGTTGGATATTCGTCCAATGATCCGATAAGAGGAGAGATCCTTGATTGCCTCCTTATTTTTTGACACTCTTTTCACTGATCCAATGTGAAAGAAGACTCTTCTTTAACAAGCTTGATAGATTCACAGCGAACAATTGTTGAAAAGATTCATATCCCATATTTACCCTAGCACTATTCAAACCTCATACTATGCCCCAATTTCCTTGCATATTTCTCACATTGTATGGAGGTATTGTTTGTTTAGTCTCGAAAAGATGCGGATGCGGCATTATGACTTCAACGCATCATCATATTTCATTCGTCGTCATCTTTCAAGTGTGGGATGCAATATATGCCAATATCAATATTAATGTATAAGCTAGATAGCTTCGCCTCCGTTATCAAAGCTTTGGTCAGGATCCCTTTGGTGATGTTCGACAACACAAGCTCGCTCTCTTTGATGACGTTTATGATTTAGATGTGTTGCAAGAATTTAGGTTCATGTAATCAATTGAGGTGAAGAGTGAGCTACTTTTATTGTCAAACTTGAGGAAAGCCAAAGACTAGGAGAAAATTATCTGGAGGCAAATGTCCGCCTTAGGAGGCTGATGCCACCTGATACTGCCATCAGGTTGCTAATGCTGGAAGACATAATGCATGCTCTAGTACGGATTGTGGTTAGAGGATCCTCACAAATCACAATGAGGCAAAGATCAACATGGGAGCACTAACTACTACCAAGTATCATTTAGATTCAACTTTCAACAAATCAACCTTAGTTGACTGCCCATCTCTTTATCTATATGAGTATTGACTACCCAACCATTCAGAACCCCCTTTGCCAAGCGGAAGTTGAAGAAGCACCTTTTAGTCAATGAGTATTGACTACCCAAATATTTAGAACCCCTTTGCCAAGGGGAAGTTGGAGAAGCACCTTTTAGGCTTGGAGGCAATAAAGCATCCGGACCAAATAGCTTGCTAGTTCCTTCTAACAGTGCTATTAGGCCACCATCAAAAAGCTACACTATTGCACTATTTGAGAACTTCCAATCAAGGAATCTTGATCTCCAAACAGTAAGCTAACTCTTGCAGTCTTGGTTCTTGCTTAATTAAAGTACTAATAGGGCATTAGATTTTTAGCGATGAACAAACCGTCAAAAAAAGATATCCTGCACACTATGGCGTATGCCTAAAGAGATCATATCTTACTTTAACCACTCCAATGTGAACCCTGTTCTCGACAAACTTGATTTTTTAGGAAGCATTTTGATTTGGTGAATTGTGATTTTCATATTGACTCTGTTGAAGGAAAGGAGTGGGATTCAGTTTCAAATGGACCCATTAGATTATTTTTTTTGCCTTAATTTGATGACATTTTCATTATTGACATAGGACTGTGGGGCCGTAGATTAAATGTTATATGAGGCTAAAACAGTAGGACCAGTTACCCAATCTTTTTATTAAATTTGGAAATATTCTTACCTCTTTGTAACTTTTCCATGCACTAATATTTTTGTGAGCCTTCTTTATGCCAATGGTGTCGTCATCCTTTCTCAGAGAGATAATTGTAATTGTTTTATTTTCCTCACCATCTCTCTTCGTTCTCAAGATCAACTGCCAAAAATATGTCTTATATCATCTCTCCCAAAAACTTGAAGTGGATGCAGTTGAGTCGGTTCAATTATCAATGGGCTTCCCTTTAATCCACTTATGATGCATTCCAATAAATAAAACCATTTTATCACGTGCGTATTGGTCACCAATTATTATCATACAACAATGTTTTAAAATTGGTTGCTTATGTAGATGATAGCTTAGGCGAAGTCAGCCATTTCTTGGTTTAGAGGTTTGTGTCCAGCGGCTTTGATGCGAAACAGGGGAGGGGGTCTATCGGAATCAACGATCTAATTTAAACAACGCACTGTTTCGCCAAAATTCATAATATTCGGTAGGAAATTAATTAAAGCAGTTAACATGACAGATGGATTTAACAAGATTTGCAACGATATTCATAAGCAATTCCAATCTCGAATAATTTATTCACAAAATTAATTATCATTTTTGCAAGTTCTAAGATCAATATCAATTTTTCAACAGTCACAGATTCAGTTCTCTCAACTCACAGATATGATATAAGCAGTGAATATATGATAATAGTTTAGAGATTTAATACGCACACAATTAACTGATAATTATGAGATTAACAGAAAATTACTGAGTTGAGAGTTTACTATCCAAAATGCTGAGAGAAATCCAAAATCCATTAGCTTCGATAGTGAAGTGAAGCCCAAAGCCCATCAATCAACAAACCTATGTGGGTCGGTTCTGAAATGAAATCAAATCCAACTTAAACAGCGCGATCTGATTTAAAGTACTAGACCCGAAAGCCCTTCCCGTCGTTATCTTCATTCAGAGGGAAGGAGGGGACGATGGAGCGATGCGACGACGATGGAACTGGACGCCGATGAGGGACGACGCCGGCGGGGATGGCGGATTGTCAGGAGGTGCTTCGGAGATGGCGGGATCTGGATTCAGGGGCTGCTCGGAGATGGAGGAAGAACAGAGAAAGGGGGTGGCGCTGGT